AGATGTTCCTTCAACCAATCTGGGACTCTTTCGAGGCGTTTCAATGGGTTTCTTAGACATAATTTTGTTGGGAAAACAAATTTGACGAAAGATTGAATGTAGTTGGCTGGTGAGAAAAATGGGAGAGAAGAAGGTGAAAGTGGAGTGATAGCGTGTATAGTTGGATAGGTGTGGGGGAAGGGTGGTGTAATTGACTAATGGGAGGTTATGAGTATAACATTAAATAAGGAAGTGTAATCAATGTAAAATTCCTATAATTGTGTAAGAGATAATTATGAGGTATTCTTTATTTAAATAATTTAATAATAATATAAAATTATAAAAAATTACTTATTTAATAAAGTAAAATTTAATTAATTTATAAATAATTAGTGATATGTTATAACCCGTAATTAAACTGTTACAAGCAAGAATTTTTTAAAAGTAGATTTAAAACCTGTAATATTGACTCTTAAATGTGTATATGAGGTGATTTTTCCTTAAAAAAATCACTATTAAATTTTTTTTAGGTCAAGTCTAAAGCAGACACTTTACTAGCATTACCCTTGAGCCAATCCTGACTACCTAATAGAAGTTAAAAAAAAAAGTTGTTTTTGAAATATCTCCAACTCAAGTGAAACAAATCCAAGTACAATGAAGAAGAAAACAATTTTTTTTTTAAAAAACACCACTACAAAGAAGGGGCAGTGCAATTCCTACCAAAAAAAAAAAGATCAAGAACAATAAAATAATGAGATAATTAAAACATAATAAATAACAGATAATAATATATTGTATCTCAATTAAAAACTATAATAATACAACTAATATAACAACAAAACATCAACAAATTTAAACTCTCGAAAAACAAAACGACATTCTACTACCTAGGCCCAAAAAATCGATATAACTGTCATTTTAAGTCCACATGATAATGTTTGCTAGCTATACTTGTACTTGAGAATATATATGACTAGTTAATGACTAGCTAAGACAATTTCCATAATAATATAATATATGGTTTGTCTACACACATTTTCCTCTTGTGACATTAACATGCATGCTTTGAAATTATTAATTATATATCCTTCCTTGTCTTTTAGTTTGTAATATAATTTTAATTAAATTTGTTGAGGTCAACACACCTAAGCACATGCATGACACGAAATTTCCACCATTCAACTTGTGAACTATTTTTAATTAATGTTTTTTTCTCTATGAATACTATGTAATGATTTTTCTATTTTTCAGTATGTCTACTTTATTATTTCTGTATTTTATATTTTTATTTTTTAACTGCTTTGATATATCAGAAACAATTTTTCTATCTCTCATGAGATAGGAATAAAATTTGCGTATATGTATTATATCCTTCAGAGACCTATGTAATTACATCGAATATGTTATAAATAGTCTATTTTGTTTAGTATTCATGATGTGAGGTCTTATGATCAGTATGTTACAGTAACTAATTATATGTTGAAACAACTAATTTCTTTATAATTACACTTTATTGACTAGATTCTGGAACTTAATTAATCAACAAAAGTTGATCAGGTGTACAAACACTTAAAAAGACAAAAAATATTAGTAAAAAAATTCATGCATATATGGGGTGTACGTGGACCCTGTATTTTTTTTTAACGTAATCCCAAATTTCCAACTTTAAAATTGTTTTTTATTATATGTAAGTTTCTTGGAAATTATTAATGTATTTGAAAATTAGAAAATTTAACCAGAAATTGAATTGGACCTACATGTTGGAAAATCTTGTTAGAATATCTTATGTTTAGATTTTCCCCAGGCCAAGGAAGGAGTCCACCATATTCTAATTTAGTATCAAAAAACTAATTATAGAATAAAAGGAATCTAGAATCTTTATACAAATAGTCGGACATATTTTTTTTTAATTGTAAACATAGATTATACACTTGTTATATATTATATGAATTATACATATATTATATATTTCTCGATTATTTTAGTTTATTAAGTTGACTAGACAACTATTTAGATTAATTCTGCTATGTATAAGTATTGAGCAAATTGGAAAAAAAAGAGTTATTAATGTCGTTATCACCGGCAGCATAGGCTTATATCGTTGTCAATGTTTTTTTTTTTTGGAAGGAAATGAAAAATATTTTTTAGAAAAATAAATGGATTTCTTATTTAATTTTTTATGCTCGATATATAATTTTAAAAGAAATACTATATTTACAAATATTAAGAAGGTGGATGGGAATGGTGGAGTAGGAGAACCGCGAGGTGGTGGGGATGAGAGTTATGAACGACGGATGTGAACATGTGCATATACTCCTCACTTTTCTCTTCTATTTCAACGTAAAATTTGCCTAACATACCACATTCTTGAGTCCGGAGCTAAAAGGGCAAAAAAAATTGTCAAAAATTTCAAAAGGGCTATCAATTTTTTTTAAAACCAAAAGGGCAAAATCGCTCCTGACGAAGCGATTTTCCTATGACACAAAACGAAAAATCGCTGCTAGGGCAGCGATTTTGTAAAAAAAAATTATTATTATTTTTTAAAATTAAAATGGCTGCGATTTTAAGTTAGATTTTTTTTTCCTTACACATCGCTGCAGGGGCAGTGTTTTTCATGCCTAGTGCTATTATTTTCATGCCTATTGTTAATTATTAATAATAGAAAAATGATAAATAAGACGGATAGTATACTCAATAAAATTGTTGAAGCATGAGGAAAATTTAATTATATATCATAAATAATAATAAAAGAATATTAAATTTAAAAAACTTTTTTTTTTAAATTCTTAACCAAAATCAAGAAAAAAAGATTTATTTTTTTAGAAAATCGCTGCTAAGGCAGCGATCTTAGCAGCAATTTTTATTTTTTTAAACGTATGATAATTTTTGTCAGAAGAAAATCGTACAACAAGTTTTGTCTATGATTTTGGTTAAGAATTTTTTTTAAAAGTTTTTTTTAATTTAATATTCTTTTATTATTATTTATGATATATAATTCAATTTTTCTCATGCTTCAACAATTTTATTGAGTATACTGCCCGTCTTGTTTATTATTTTTATATTATTAATAATTAACAATACGCATGAAAATATCACTAGGCATGAAAAACGCTGCCCCTGCAGCGATGTGTAAGGAAAAAAAAAATTCTGACTTAAAATCGCAGCCATTTTAATAAAAAAATAATAATTTTTTTTTTACAAAATCGCTGCCCTAGCAGCAATTTTTCATTTTGTTTCAGAGGAAAATTGCTTTGTCAGGAGTGATTTTGCCCTTTTGGTTTTAAAAAAAGTTGATGTGCCCTTTTGGAATTTTTGACAATTTTTTTTACACTTTTGGCTCCGGACTCCGACATTCCTTCTTCAGAAACTTACCAATCTTGTTTGATCTTTCCTCATCAGCAGTCTTTCGTGTCAATTGTGCTAACATGGAAAGGAACCCCCACCCCCCAATAAAAGAAAAAAAGAGTGCGTAGGATTTGATAAAGACCTTTCAATTAAAGTGGAGATAGTTTTCAATCTTTTTTTTTTTCTTCAACATTAGTTGAACTGGATTTGTCTTGGTCGTTTTGAAATAATTATATTAAGTATATGTTGATGCCTCACATCACTTTTTTTATTCTTAGTAAGCATTAGTCTTTGGAGAAAGCTCACAGAAATTCTACCTTTCCTCAAACTTCATTTTCTTGTAAACTTCTTAGTCTTTTAGAGTATTAAAATTTAAGTCGTTAAAAAGAATAAATTTTTAATTATTTATATATCATATATATTTTAACATGTTATTTTATTCGTGAGTCTGATTCTTTTTTATGAGTCAAACAAGTGAAAATATGACACTGAAATTTGAACTTCAGCCTGCTGCTCTACATGTTTAATGGTTAGAAAAAGATCAATTTATAACTTTTAAATTATGTCTCAACACTCTTTCTTGTGTAGGTCTGATTCTTTCTAACAACCAAACACATGAAAGTATCTTTTGTTTTCTTGAATTGCCTGGTGAGAAATTTAAACTCGAGACTTCTGTCTGCTCTAGTTACATATTGAAATATGTGACAATCTCAGTTAAAACTTTAAACTATTTATTAAAGAGAGCATATTTTCAATTACTTTTAACTATATTATGTCTAAACAATACTTACCTATCACATCATGCTACTTACTATCAAAGAAACTTTCCTATAATTACCTAATAAGCAATATAATTCTCCAAAAATTTATATTGTCCCATTACATATAATTTAAATACTCTTATAACTTACTTAATTGAGATGTGTAAAGCTAAATACCTTTTTCTTTATTCCTCCATCTCTTTCATAAACACCTAACCAAACTCTTTAAATAACACAAATTATACAAGATTAATTGTTACACACACATGATCAATGACTAATGAGAACACCATAAACTCTAATTACTTCTCAATTAGTATAGAAGAATTATCAAATCCTCAATCTTTTACCCTTCAACAACTATTTGATGCACTTGAAACCAATACTTCTTCTGGCATATTAGGAAATTCTATCGATCTCTGTCGTCGTCGAAAATCATTTGGTTCAAACAACAACTTTTCTTCTCCTTCTCTCAAGAAAAAAAGTTTTTGTGAATTAACACTTGAAGCATTCAAAGAAAGCACTTTTATCCTTCTATTTTGTTGTGTCGCGCTTTCTCTTGTGATTGGGATCAAGAGGAACGGACTGCAAGAAGCGTTGTTTGATTCTGTTATAATCTTCTTGCCAATTTTTTTCATTTTAAACTTCAGCGTTACTTTCAGGTATAGGTGACAAATGAACGAGTTGAGCTGAATATGGGTTAATGAATCACCAGTCCAAAAGTTACTTGAGCTGAAATGAGCTAAAATGCGAGTCATAACTCAATCTGTCTGACTCATACTAAGTTTTAATTGCTTTATTGGTTCTCTTATATCTTTTTTATCAAATAGAAAAAAATTATTTTTCATGAATCAATTTAGACTAGTAAATGAGCGGGTCAATAATCAGCTCAAACTTGAGTGGATTTGATGAGTTATGATTTCATAAGCTAATTTTATCACGTTTGATTATAGGTTTTTCAAGGCAAGATGGATATCGAAGAGGAGATTATCGCGTAAAAAGAAGGTAATTAGGGTTCTTAGACACCAACAACTTGTACAAATTCCATCTTCTGAAGTAGTGGTTGGTGATATTGTGTTGTTGGAAAGTGGTGATCATGTCCCTGCTGATGGAATTTTAATTCAAGGTAACTCGTACAAGTTCGATGATGGTAGTACTAGTCATCATGATTTAGTATTACCACGCGAACAATTGCATCATGTTTTGTTTAATCGTACAAAATTAGTGGAAGGAAGTTGTCAGTTACTAGTAACTGCAGTTGGTGAAAATAAAGAGAGAATCAAGTTGATGAAGTGTGTAACAAGTTTCCAAAATAATGGTCATGATCAGTGTTACTCAAAGATTCAAAAATCGATTGATGAAATGAGCTCATTCTTGGATAAATTATCCTTGAGTCTCTCTTTGATCATTCTTGTAGTTGAAGTTTTTCGATGTTTCTTGTGGAACAAGTCATGGTGTTGTGATAAAGATCGCGATCCTAAAGGTGTGAAGAACTCGATGGAGGAGATAATGAACGAGGCCACGAAATACATGAGGAGGAAGAGAGGTGAAAATTATGGTACCAATAAGGTTAATGGCTTTGTAGCTATGGTTTGTATTTTGGTGTTTTCATTAAAAGATGGATTATCTTTAGGGATGTTTATTGTTCTTCTATATGCATCTAAAGATGTGAAAAAGAATGATCAAATCATAGTTCATAATCTTCCATCTTGTGCTAATGGAGCTCTTGTTACCACTTTGTGCCTTGGTAAAACATCTCATTTTGTTGTGAATCATTCAACTTTGGTGGATTTATGGATTGGCTTCGAGAAAATCAATGACTTATCTGTATTCAGTGGCGGAGCTAGAGGTAAGAAAAAGGATTCAATCGAATCTCCTTAATCTATATATCTTTATTTTTGAACTTTTTTTGGCTTTGCCAACTTGCTAGTTATAATTTTTTTGAATTTCTGTTAATAAAATTTCTGACTACGTCACTGCATGCAGATTTTAATGAGGAAGTCCGGAATACATTACTTGAAGGAGTTTTTATGAATATTATTGGTCATGTTGATGAGGATGCACTTCTTATTTGGGCTGAGAAATTGTTTGGTGAAAATATTGAACAATTTCATGGAAGTTGTAGCATTTTAAACCTTGAAAATTATTATCCTAACAAAGGATTATGTGGGGTGTTATTAAAAAGAAACAAAAAAGAAATTGGAGAATTTTTGCATGTACATTGGAAAGGAGAACCAAAGTTAGTGTTATCCATGTGTTCTAACTATTATGATATTAATAATGGTACCATGCAAACCCTAGATGAAGAAAAAAGGGAGTTGTTCAATCGAAAAATCGCGAGTATTATAGTATCTAATGGAGTTCATTGCTATGGTTTCGCTTATAAACAAGTTATAAGATCATTGCTAGAAGAAGAAGAGAAGGAAAATGGTACTATTATCGCGAAAGATGGGTTGAGTTTCTTAGGGATCGTGGTATTAAAAAATCCGTATTCATCTGAGTTGAGACGAACGATTGAAGTGTGTCGAAAATCTGGGATTGAGATCAAGTTAATGGTGGATGATGACTTGAATACATCAAGATTAATGGCTATTAATTCTGGAATATTAAGAATTGAAGAGGATTTACAAGGATCTATAATTGAAGCTATTGAATTTAGAAAAAGTCCAAAAGAAGCTCAAATTAATATGTGTCACAAAATTAAAGTAATGGCCAATTGTTCTCCAGCTGATAAATTACTATTGGTTAATTGCTTGAAAAAGAGAGGTGGACACGTGGCGGCAACCGGTTCGTCTATTAGAGATTTACCATCTCTAAAAGAAGCTGATGTTGGAATTTTTTTTGGGGAAAATTGTGCAGACTTAGCTAAAGAAGATGTTGATATTACTATCGTTGACTCGAACTTTGGTAAGATCCTAGCCATATTAATCTTGGCCAAGTAAGTATGCCTATGCGATATCAATTAGTTGAGACTATATTTTAGTCATGCTAATATTGGAATTTTTTTACGTCTTATTGATTTCTGACTCAACTTATTTTGGACTAAGACGTAGTTTTTGTTATTGTAGGTATGTATGCATAAGTCTTGAGAAGTTCATACAATTGCAATTGATACTCAATATTTCTGCCTTCACTTCAAACTTTATTATTTTATTTTTCAACCCCACAAGTGATGATCAAGATCATCAATTGACACCATTTCAATTGTTGTGGGTAAATCTACTTATAGAAGTTTTTGGTGCCCTTTTTTTGTCCATCATAACATCAACCATAAAGCCTCGTGAGTCTAGTTCAGTTGATCAAATCACGTTGAATTATTATGGCACTGGTGCACCTATGGTAACCAACAACATGTTAAGGAACATAGTTGTTCATTCTATGTTACAAGTTACACTTCTATTGATGCTTACCATGAAGGGAAAAGCATTTTTTCGCGTCAACGAGGCATTGTTGAGTACCATGATCTTCAATATTTATGTATTATGCCAAGTTTTTTTATTGATCATTAGTGCCATTGAGATGATCACAAAGACAAGAATCTCCAAAGGGAGAAAATGGTTATTGTTTATGGTTAGTTGTGTAATTATAGGATTATTATTATTTTACAAGTTATATTATTTCAGATTATGTCAAAAATTGATCATTGGAAAAAATTAGGAGTTAAACAATGGTCCATTTGTATAGGAATTGCAGCTATATCTTTGCCTATACACTATGCTGCAAAAATGATTTCTAGTCCATGTAAAGATTCTTAATTTTACTTAGGAATTGTATTTATGTATTTATTACTTGTAAAAACTATGTATAGAAATTTGTAATTAGGTACTAATTACTACCCAATATTCTTGTCTTGGTTTCTTGTTTAGTTGCTTTGTATCTTGTAAGTGTCTTATCATTTTTTTTCCATACAAACACGCTTCAATTTCCTTTCTTTTGAGCGAGGATCTATCGAAAATAACCACCTTATCCCACAGATAAGAATAACATTTGCATACATCTTAATTATCCGCTTCATATTTCACTGGGTATGTTTTGTGGTTATTGGCCAATATTCTTGATTTTTTTTTGTACTTGTGCTAGAATGAAAAGATAGTTATAATATATTAAATTGATGTTCTTTGAAGTATTATCTAAAGGTCACAATATGATGGCTCATCAAAGTAATCAAAAGGTGAATCTTCGAATTGCCTAAAGGCTAAAGGTCACAATCATGGGCAATATCTTAATATTATTTTTTAATTGATTCAAGGACAAATAGTGTCATTTGGACTTTCATTTTTTTTTTATGACAAGAAAAACCTGCGGCTGCTACCCTTTGGGTGTGCACCGGGTAAAACCCCCACTCCTATGCAATAGCTTGCAAACCACCGCACTAGGCAAGTCCGGTGCGACGAGCTTGACCTAGAAGCAAACCCCTTGCTTTCGCTGGCAAGGGGTTTCGAACTTGAGACCTCCAACATGGAGGTCCCAAGCCCAAACCACTGGGCCAACCCGAAAGTAGCAAAAAATAAGTTTCATAAGTAACATTTTCATTTCATTTTTGGAAATCGAACACTATCAAAAGACTAAGATGCGTGATTTACATTCAAATTTAAGTAAAAAAAAAATGTAATAATTCATGCAACTATTGTTTATCTGCAACATCAAGGTTGTCCTCACGTTCAGCCATAACAAAATTGTTGGAATTGTCATCCTCATCTCTCCTCTCCATAAAAGAGATTTCGTCGTGGTTGCTTCTATCTGAGCCTCCGTTACTCTTCCTCTTCCTAGTCATAATTTTTGGAACGAGTCGTGTTACCTCACTTGTCTCTACTTCTACATCGTCATTGATCCGTTCAAATCGAACAGCACTAACTTTTCTGGCATTCCCTGCTAATATCTACACCAAAATTGACAAAATCAGGTACCAACTAAATATATGCTTATTGTGAAGTTCTTAAGTCTGGTAAGTTCATGGAAAACGACGAAAGCTTCAATTTTAGAAGGTAGAAGCGTTCAGTGTCAATTCTTAGCCATAATATTCACCGATAAACAAGTAAACATACCTCAAGCTTAAAAGTTTGGTTCTTCTCGTTGTGGTCTGTTCGATCAGATTCTGTGTCATTGTAATTGTTGTCCTCGTCTTCATTTCCCCTTTCCAGTATAAGCTTAATCGTCTCACCTGTCCTTGGGATATATCCAAATGCTTCGCAGACAAAACCAGAGACCGTCTCATATTGATGGTCCTGATACAGAATAAAGAGAAGACGTCAATTAATGGGACGATTCTAGAATGATTAACATTAGTTGAAGGCAGTTTCCCCTACCAAAATCATGTTAACACAAGCAAACATAATAGTTATTTGCAGAACGAGAGGCTTGACAGCAGGGAAATGTTTTAAGTTATTTTCACGTCTCTGCTCGAAAAGGGAAAAATGAAAATTCAAGAGCTCCGAAGCCTCATCTATGTTTTCTTGAACCATGAAATGAACAGGACTCACACAAACTACTCCTGACAAATTAGGGACTACGAGTGGCGGCTATCTTGTATGGTTAAACTAGCAGTAAAATGTAGTTTAAAGACAGAAAATTATAACTCTCAGAAGAAAAGCACACCTCTGGCATTTTAATATTGAGATCTTCAGAGAGCTGGTCAATGGAGGTATTTGCATCAACATCGTATATTCCCTCAGCCCGCATGACAATATAGCCAGTTTTTTTCTGGATTTCCTCCTGTCACACAACAAGAAAATATATATAAACAAATATACTTCCACATACTAAATATCTATGTATTCTATCACTGAAGAGGGTATCCATCAGAGATAACTGTGAACCTACGAATAACTAGCTGTTCAAAGAAGTGGAAAGAGGGACTCATAAGTCTTACTTTTGAATCATTTTCGTCAAAGATTTCACCAACAATTTCCTCGACCACATCTTCAAGGGTTACAATCTGTTTCATAGGAGAGATAATGTGAAGACATTGTTATAGATAATTAAATGATAGATACACAGTGGATAAGAAATTTTGATAGAATTAACAAAGCGCTACAACCAATAAACAGAAACGATGAGAGAGAATACTTACTCCAATGGTTCCTCCATATTCATTAAGAACAACAGCCATGTGTACCTTTCTGATGCGGAACTCTCTAAGAAGGTTCCACACTGACATAGAATCTGCATTGTTACAAGATTATTTTGTTTGCCTCCTTGGGAAATATCGTGTGTGGGAAGAAAACACGAGCAATGTGTATGCAACTTATAAGCATAAAGCATGAAATGTTTTAAGGGAGACGCGTTCTAGGAAATAGGAATGATTCACTCCCATAGCAGCTGGTTAAATAGGAACAATTCACATCTCAACAGTGTGAGGATCTGAAAGGCAGCACTACCTTCAGCAAAGTGGCTTCGGTATTGTTAATTATACTAAAAAGTATGTATATCTGTTTGTTGATTTAGTTATGGTAGACAGTACATGACGTCTCTGATAAGGCTATGAAGCTGTACTTACAATACCTACTGATCAGCAACTTAAATCAGTAATTTAAATTATTGACTTTGCAGATCCATGGTTTAGGTGACATAGAACTATGATTTCTTATTTATACAGCAGTCAACATCAGGAAGAAATGTAAACTACCGGGAACAAAGTATGCAGGTTTATGTGCCATATCTCCCACAATAGAACTTTCCAGCAGTTCTCCCTTCAAAATCAAAGAGAATTTTCAGCATACTATGAGATTTATGTGTACAATTAGAAATGACACCACTACAATTTGAAAGAGGCTGGTTGAAGTCATAGATGCTAGACCTTTTGTACATAATCTAGGAGATCCATGGCATATGCAATGCCAACAATATTATCTATACGTTGCTCAAAAACGGGCACCCTGAAAATTCATAGCCAAACTCTTTTAGCACCTATTGAAGGAAACTTCTTCTCTATGCAAAAACAAGCAATGAAAAGTCTATTAGACCTGGAGTACTGATGTGTCACCCACAAACTATGGAAATCAACTAACGTTGCACTGGCATCGATTGCAACAACATCAACAAGAGGTGTCATTACCTCCCTGACATGAGTATCTTTAATCTCCAACACATTTTCAATCATATCCTGCAAGAAAACAGAGGCATAGAAGGTTCATCTGGTTAAAGTTTTAGGAGATATATATCAATTACTCTGCCCCAGTCCCAAACAAGTTGGGATTGGCTATATGAATCCTCACGTCTCCATTTAAGCACAACTCATGTCACTGTCATACCAAACCAAAATAAAATTAAAAAAATTTAAGCAGAACTCTTGTCTCTTGCAAGACAACACATTTTCAACCATGTCCTGCAAGAGGACAGAGACATTAATGGGTCAGGGTTTAATTTTAGGAGATATAATCTCCACATAAAAGCAAGCATAAGATTATATTGTTTGGTTGAGATTTGAGGAGATTTAGTCTCACATAAAATCAACATTCATTAATACAACATTTGGTTGCTCCTTTTTGTTTTCCTCATAATAATACTTGCATAAGTTATGCGGGAATCTATGTATTATTTTATGTGAGATAGATTGTGTTCCCATAGTTGCGTCTAACCTAACGCATTAGTAAGTTGCAAAAGATACCTACTTATGCATGGAAATCAACAAATTAAAAAAAAAAATCCGAGAAATATGTTCAAAGCTGGTCAAATCAACTTTTAAGCATTTTTGGCTTATTTTAAACCAAAACTGCTTAAAATCCAACTGTTTTTAAGCTCCAAAAAAAATCCATAAAAGCTGGGATGCCAAATTCCCAATAAAAAGGTGGCAGCTGTGATTAAACCACAGTCATTTTTTTGGCCAAGGGAAACAATGTGGTAGCCTGAAGATGCTCGTCAAGGCAAAATCGAACAAACCCCTCCTCTTCCAGAGAAGACGAGCCAAGGCACAAAGCACTGGCTTCTGCACCAATTATACAGCTGATGTAACATTGGAGGGCATGACTAAGGTGGTGCATAGAAGAAACAAGGTAAAAAAAAATTCGTCAATTATTTTTTCAAGTTTTGGATGTTATGTTTGTTTGACAGTTCTTCCCAAGAAAAAGTCATTAGCATAACAACTCTCTCATTAATGTTTAGGTCATACATTTTGTTGTCTTTTAAAGAGGGTAAAATAGTACACTTGTATGTTGCTACATTCAGTGTTGTCAAAGCGCGCTTAAAGTGCGGTCAGCCACGCTTTACTGTGCTTCAGTCTCGACATCAAGGATCTAAGGCACTTTTCCTTGCCAATTCGTGTAATCCTGAAGATACTACACAAGTGATATTTCACTTCATCGTAAACATTTTTCAATTTCTTTGTTCTTATATTAGTTATTCATGCTTATAATTATTAGTCTTGGACTATGCAAACATATTTGTATTTTTTCTCCATGCACGTCTTTCTTCTTCAAGGTCCACACTTTATTTGTGCTTAAAGCACCAACAAACCTTAGTTTTTTTTACATTTTTCGCCTTTGATAAGACTGGCTCCATGGACTTCTAACTATGTAACCATGGATCTCCAATAATAACATGCAAGATAAGAACAAAATACAGAGTGTGCTAAAATAGTGCTCGTTCAAATGGACATGATAAACACATCTCAAGATGCTGCATTTGGTACAATGGCCACATATGTGAAGGCTATTCTAATGGACAACCAATTCTATGTGAACTAGACAAGCTTATGTATCATTAGAATATGCATGTGCTTCTGTGGTTCATATTTGGTAACAGTTGAGGTTCAAGCATAAAAACCAGAAACCCAGAAAACACATGAACTCACCTGCTCTTCCTCCTCAATTGCGCCACTTAACTCCGCCCCACGCAGCATCAACTTCAATTCATCCTCAGTGACATATGGTTCACTAGATTACCAAAATGAATATAAAATTAATGACACAACTTAAAGTTTTGGCAAATGAGAATGATGTAGAATCAATGCTGGATTTAGATGGACTGGCGACAAAGTGAAGGAGGATCCAACTAACTTTTGTCAGCTTGTTTGTAATTTTAGTACCAAGAGTACTGGTTCCTTTTCTAATAATATATATCTTATCAAAATAAAATATTTAGACCGAGACTATAGCCCATACCCTCAACCAATGTGAGACCCCAATACTTTTCACTTATTGTATCTGTAAACATACTTTTAACTTTTCTACAAGTTATTATGGACGAAAACACTTAATAGGTGTTTGGCCATAGGATTAGGGGCTCAAAAAGTAGGATTTCAGTTTTTTTTACTCAACCCAAAAGCTAGCTCAAGGGGAAGGATTCCACAAGACCATATGAGACCCCAATTCAATTCATTCAGTTTTTCTAACTCAACCCCAAAAGTTAGCTCATGAGAAGAGGATTGCCCAAAATAATTTTCACAAAATGTTGGGTTCTCATCATGTTTATGATAAAAAATACAACTTAAAAAATCCAAATGACATGTCCAAACAAAGTTCCAATTTCAAATCATCAAATCATGTATAAACAGGCCCTTAGAAACCTAAATTATGTGGACAAGGCACCTTATGCTTTTCTTGTATCTTTTGACAATAATGTATTTATCTAATTAAAAAACAGCATATAGATGCTCACAACGATTTCTAAGGATAAGCATGCATAATATAGATAGTCTTTCAAATAAGACATGCATGTGAACTTGCCATATTCAGAATTACATAAACGATTAGAAATATCATAAGAGCATGTTCCATAAATATGCTCACAAAAACATAAAATTATGATATACATATTCCAACTGAAAGAATGGTAAAAAAGATTAACACTGTGAGGCAGAGCTCATGAAAATAGCAAGACTTGATTTATGATCACCATACCTTCTTCCTTTCAAGCCGAGGAGTTTTAGCATTCCCATTGATAGATATGTCACAACTCTTCCAACTGGATATAGTATCAAGGAAAGCCATGCAACTGGCCTAACCTAGAGGCATTTCAAATCAGATTTCATCTAAGATTTTTCGAGCATTATCAGCTATGCAGAAGAACTTGATCTGTAATATTTAACTATTAATAAGTCTTGGTTCCAACCAAGAGTTCAACTTACCACAAACCTAGCAACTTCTGTGGCATTGTGAACAGCAATACTTTTTGGAGTAATTTCCGTTAGGAGCAGGATCGCAACCTTGCAGCATAGGCAGAAAAAAGGTAGCAGGTTAGCAACACTAGCAGAATATTGTATTGCAACTGACACAAGTCAAAGAAGAAGCAAAAGGGGTCTGAGTTCATTCAATTTCCAGTTTTTGTCAAACAAAGGGAAACAGACTGAAGTATCTTCAGCAATATAGGTTTTACCACAGGAGCAAATCAGACTCTTTTTACAAATCAGGGGATGAGATCAGACTCCTTCGAGATTTTTTTGAGAAAGGTAACAATAGACTCCTTTGAGAACTAGAGTTTGGTATGTATTCAACCCATCAAGCATATGCTTTTTTGCCTAAACAGATAAGGAAAATATATGTGTATGGAAAAACCCAACACTAAGGACAATGTAGATGGAACATGACATACCGTCATAACTCCAGTTGCTGCACTCACACCGGCTTCACCAAATGCCGCAGTTGCAGCCTCAGTAACTAATGCTGTAGCTGCAATATTGACAACGCTGCGCACACAAACCAAATCTAAAATAAGGAATAATCTTCAACTACAAGTGCAGAAACAGTTTAAGTCATGATTACAACATCAAATGAGCAGTACGTTGTTCCAATGAGTATAGTTGTAAGGAATCGAGTAACATCACTTCTCAACATTTTGAAGACTCCTTCATTGTCAGATTCTTTTTCAGCTAACTCTCGTACCTAACATTTATAAGTAGAAACAACTAATTGCATTAATAGGCAAGTAAAATGGATATGCAAACAATGAAATAACAAGTTCTGTTTTTAAAATGATAGAGAAGAAAGAAAAAGCTTTTGAAGGCAGAGTACTAGAAAGAAAAGTTTTCTCATGCACCTAGAGTCCTAGATAATTCTCCGTATGAAATTTTTGAAGTTTCTTGAAATTGCAACTCAATATAAGCTTCTAAGCGGCTCGCTGAATAAGTGCTACCTACCAATCATTGAGCCATAAGGTCCAGCTGAGCCCAGAATACATAAAACAAATGTGAACACTCAAAGCTACAGTCAGGCAGTTCTTTCTATCAAGTTAATTACTAGGGAAATCTTAATAGACAAGGAAAACAGTAATTTCAATGGTTGCTTCAGTTTTATGTCCAATGTCCTTCACTATACATCTCCTTATTATTCTGCAAGTTAAGTCCATGTAAAAACTAACCAATGTCTATTTTTACTCTTTTATGCCCTTGTAGTCTCAAAACTCAAAAAATAGCAAACACAAGTATAATAAACCCTCTAGAATGCTTCCTATTACATTTAGCCTTCCTCATCTACAATGTCTCACACTAGTCCTCATTTCTACCAACCAGGCAACGTGTTACTTTAATTTTTAAGGAGTATGTTTTTAGAGTGTTACCATTTCATTCTAAGAACAACCATGAAGCCTTCTATCTACGTTTAGACTGGCGTACGTCTAGACTGTTTCAATTTGGAACAACATATATAAACTTGTACAGCTAAAGGGACTCATCCTAAAATTGATGAAATGAAACTACTGAGAAGGTGAGAAACATAATCATTTACTCATTAAACTTGAGTATTCAGCATGCTAGAATTAATACAAAAGTTTTATGCTATTTTTCTTTATTTCCATTAAGAAGCATTTAGACTACCGCGGAACATACACACATAATACATAAACAAACACTCAAACTTGGCAACAACTAACAGATAAGCACTCCAGCTTTGAGACTGCACATCTAGACATCAAGCATCCACGAGACATAGTGGGGACGAGTTGGAGTGTTTGTTTGTCAGTTGAGACCAAGTTGAGGTGTCCATACGTGCACTCTCACGTTGGAGTGCTTACTTGCCGATTGACACCAAGCTTGAGTCTTTATGTATTATGCCTAACATATATGTAACAACAGCTACAAAACCAATGCAACGCTTAAAAGGGACAACTTTTTCTATTGAACAACACAATGCATACAAAGAGGAAGCAAAATAGGTACCTTCCACGGCCAAAGCGTAGTTATTGATGTCTCAGCCATTGAAAAAAATGCAGAAAGACTAAGAAGAGCCGCAAGAATCAAACCTTGTTCTTTAAACATCCTGAGAACCAACAAAACCGTAGGCCAATAACTCCTCAACAAAACCAAACCCTGCTCTAAAACACCATATCCCCCATTTAAAACCCCTTCAACAGCAAACACTCTTCTGCACCCAATTATGAAAACCCCACATATCACCCCAACCAAAATCACCCCTTTTTTCAGCAGGAAATGCATAAATGGTATTTTCAAGCACGACCCAGAAGAATCTTCAGCATTCTGAAACTCCCCTTTACCTCCTTTAACAGATAAACAAATCCCATTCCTAAAATTACACCTCGAATTGTAAGGAAGAACAAAATTTGACGCAACCCCACAAGAGTAACGAAGGTTATTAGCAGATAGCTTAATGGGTATTCCTAATTGACGAGTATAAACGCCTGGATACGAACGTTTATTACAAGTAGTAATGAATGAAGATGGATTATAAACTGCAGCATCCATGGAAATTAAGCAAAATTAAACAGCTCAAATACAAAAACAAAGCAAAAAGATTTCTGGGTTTATGGAGAATTGAAGATTTTGTAGAGTTTGAAGAGATGAAATTGAGCAGATGCCAGAGCTCATTGCGTTTAAGCTTCACCTGCCTCAATTTTTTCACCTTTTCTTTTAAGCTCCTCTTCTTTGAATAAACAACAAGTATAGTAAGCTACTAAAAAGCAACTTGCAGGTAATGAAATGACATATTTGACCATCATAGTACTTCAAAAAAAAAAAAAAACTTCGGGCCCGATTAGTTCAGATTCGTTTAATCGTTTCGTGTATGGCTCAAAAGTGCTTTTTATGACTTATGAGATGTAATACATAAAATTGTGTGTTTTATACCTTCAAATGAGTAAGTTCTTTATAAACTAATGTCATGTTCGAACATAAATTATGAAATATTATAATATGAAAAAATAAACTCAGATTCCACGAGAAAATTATTTGTTATGATGGGGAAAATACAGGGGCAAATGTGTGAATGACTCCCCCAAGTTTCGAATTTGGAAAATCTAGTTAAGAGAAGAGAGATCTTATTCATTCCGTTAAAATTTTGATAGTGAATTATGGTAAATGTTTATCGAGTGTTCGTATTAAAATTCTACCTACAAATACATATGATACATCTATTGATTCGACTTAACACATAAAAAAAGTGAAAAATTTTCCGTCTCACACACAAAAGTCTAATTAGAGAAAAAAATTGTGAACGAAAATTATTGAGTCAAAGGAGTTTATTGTAAAAAGTATTTCATTTTTGCTTGTAGAGAAAAATTCAAACTTGTAATTTCACTTCCAACTCAACACAAAAAGTTAAGTACTACTTTTATCAAGAAGGAACAAAATCCGTGCACTCTTAACTAACTAATCACTTGACTCAACATACATTCAAATTATTGGTAAACAAAAGTTACTTCAAACATTTTCCATATCAAAAAGTCTAAAAATACAAAAAAAAAAAACAGATGCCATTTCACTATCAATATTGCACAAATAGATGAACTTCTTTCACTGCCATAAGATTGTTGCAGTTTCCCTCAAGTCACAGGCAACTGCATTTCGCCGGTTCTTGTTCAAGCTCTATGTCAACGGATGGAAACTCAAAAGAGTGTTAAGTATATCTTACTAGTTTTCATCATCATCGTGTAACGTGGTCAATGAAGATTAGTGTCTGAGATTTCACGTGTCTGAGGCGTTCTCAAAACTTGAATTTGATCTCATACTATACTCAGCCACGAGCTTGGCAAACAACGAGGATTCGTTCTCTAATAACTTGCCTGGAGTGTCATATTCAGCAATGAGCCCTGTAGTATAGCAAACAAAAGAAAGTAAATACCAAGAATTTCCACCACCGTTTGATCAAAAAATGCAAATGTTGATTCTTACCGTGTTCTAATAGTAGGACCATGTCACTATCAAGAACAGATGTAATCCTATGAGCGATGGTTATAACTGTGGAATCAGTGAAGTGCAGCCTTAGAGTTTGCTGAATTAGATTGTCAGTTGCAGTGTCGACAGATGCTGTAGCCTCGTCTAGGACAAGGACCTTGCTTTTTTTTAGTAGCACGCGTCCAAGACAGACTAGCTGCCTTTGGCCTACGCTCCAGTTCTCTCCATTCTCAGATACTGCAGCAATCCAAAAGAATATAAGCATTATAAGTGTCACAGCTATAAAAGTGGAGATCATCAGAACATGATGTGGTTCTAACCTGTAGAATATAGTTTGCCTTCTTTCTTCCTAACTTCGTCTCCTAGCTGACATTTGTCGAGCACCTGAAGCATAAAATTAAATTAAGTTTTTCAATAAGTAAAAGTTTTCATTTTCTTATGTGAAATGACAATCCTCGAAATAGGCAAACCAAGCTGTTACCTCCCAAATTTGATCATCTGAATGCTCCTCAAGCGGGTCTAGGTTGCTGCGTACAGTCCCCTCAAACATTGTCGGATCCTGTGGAATTATACTCAATCTAGACCGCAGATCATGCAGACCAATTGAGGAGATGTTGGTACCATCTATTTTTATCTGTCCAGCAACAGGATCAACTATGCGGAAGAGGGTCTGTATTAAAGTCGATTTACCACTGCCTGTCCTACCAACAATTCCAGTCTTCTTCCCACCAAAGAAAGTGCATGTAAGCCCTCTTAACACGAGAGGCATGTGGGGAGCATATCGAACCTATAAAAGTTTTCAGATATATCAACACATACAATGAATTAACAATAACTCCATCTACCTGCATAACACCACAGAACAACTCAATTTACCTGAAGATTGTTAAACTCAACCTCTCCACGAGATGGCCAATTAGGATCTGGTCTACTAGACTCTATGATAAGTGGAGGTTCACTTGGAAGACCAGCATACTGAAGTATTCTTTCGACGGAAATAATTTTATTTTCCATCATACAAAGATTCCATACAACCCAAGCTTGCAGTACGTTCAGATTAAGTCCGTATGTAACAGCTAAGCCAGCAACACCTGTAAGGGCAAGAAAAAGGAGAAAATGTATGTGAGATGTACTCTTTAGAATCATTTAACAAATTTGAAGGAATGAAAACCTGATGAAGATAGAGCACTTACTTGGATTGATTGTTCCAACAGGAAGAGAGATCAAGAAAATCAACGCGAAAGCAAAAGTGATCAGAGATAACATATCCAAACGCATGCAAAGCCACTCCATCGCAGCAGCTGTGTGAAACTTAGGCCGAGAATAATTGTCTATTAATCTCATACTTGCATCCTGGAATCTAGATTCCTGATCGAAACTTCTAATTGTGCTTGATCCTGAAATTGTCTCGGCGAAGTGCTGTATTACTGGAGCTTTGCATGTCCCATTTAGACGTGCCAGTTCTCGTGCTGCAGGGATATAATATTGCTGCAATTAAACAAAACACACCACTTAAATTTAATTCATGTTTACATACGTCGCTAAAGTTATAAATTCAGAGAAAAGAACAAAGCAAAGTACCAACCTCCAACCAGATGCAAATTGCAATGACCGGGATAAAGACTATGAAGACCTGCCATGCGACTTGTGACATTACTGCAATGATTCCTATAAGCTGTATTATTGTGAAGGCAAAGGATCCAACTTGAAAGGGAATATTTAGATCGATTGCACTTTGATCTGTCGATGCCTGTTGTCATACCAAAGCACATTTGAGCAAATTCCGAAGTTACTAGTTAATTTTCGATAATATTCATTGGTCATGTAAAGAAACAAGTGGTAAGTAAGGAAATGTAATCATTCACATACTCTATTTAGAATCCGCCCACTTGGTGTGGCATCGAAGAATGACATTGGAGCACGGAAAATGCAATGATGCATTTTATGGAAAAGCAATGAGGCAGTCTCATATCCAGCGGTAACAAGAAGCATGGATCTAGCAAAGATGCACAAAGCACTTGCAATTCCTAACGCAACATACACAATGATGAGAGTAGAAGAGCCAACAGGAGATGGATCATTCTTCGAAACAGGGGTAGCCCAAGCCATCCAATAATTGCTTCCAATTTGAAGAAGCTGAAAACCAGTTTGTGCCAAAAGTACAATTGGGACAAGGGCACCTCCATATGCAGTTGTTATATATTTCCAGTAAACTGAAAAGCTAACACTACCCTTCTCTCTTTCTTCCTCCTGAACAATTTGTCCCTTTTGTCCATCAGTATCATCAACTTTACCATTTTGGCAATCTGAAGTCTGTTTATCCTGCACGGTGGAGTTATCGCCAGTCATTCCACTACTTTCCTCGCTCTTTCTCAGTGCTTCTCCCTTAACCGTGTCAATTGCTGTTAAAGCTTCTTGGTGAGCACCGACAAGTTCCATGAAGTCACTACCTAGTTTGAGAAGATCGTTGTATTTCCCAGCTTGACTGATCTTTCCATCTTTCATGACCTGAGAAGAAATATCATATAAAATGAGTCAAACTCAATGTACAATAAAAAAACATTAATTACTCGAGGAACTACAAGGAAAGAGTACCAAGATCAAATCTGCAGCAGGCAAAAACTCCACTTGATGAGTAACGTATAGAACTGTTTTTGAATTCAGTAGTCCCATTATACATTCCTGCAATTAAAATATGGGTCAATCAAGGCTAGAAAAAAAGTATCAAATGTGAAACTAAAGCATATGAAATGACTTACAGTGAAGAGATGGGTTCCGGTATGAGCATCCACAGCACTGAATGGATCATCAAATAGGTAAACATCAGCGTCTTGGTAGAGAGCACGTGCAATCTGTATTCTCTGCTTCTGTCCACCGCTCAAATTTATGCCTCTCTCACCTATGACTGTTTGATCTCCAAAAGAGAGAATTTCCAGGTCTTTCTTTAAGGAGCACGCTTCAAGAACTTTATCATACTTCTCCCTCTGCATCTCTTTACCAAATATTATGTTCTCTTCTATCTTTCCACTCTGTATCCAGGGCGTCTGTGCAACGTAAGCTTTCGTTCCACTGAGTTTAATAGTCCCTGATAATTTGGGCATCTCCCCTAAAATGCTAGAGAGTAAGCTTGATTTTCCAGAACCAACAGTACCACAAATGGCAACTCTCATGCCATTAAGCACTCTAAGATTTACATCCTTTAGAAGTGGAGTGGAGGATGATGCATCCCACGCGAAGTTCCCATCAACAATCTCAACTGCTACATCAGAACTTCCTTTTGGAAGCTTCTCTATGACATCAGGCTGCAAGTCCTCAAGAGAAAGGAAAGATGCAATACGATCAAGAGAAACTTTGGTTTGAGCAATCATTGAAATTGTATCTGGGAGATTGTAGATGGGCTCCTGGAGAATTCTAAATGTCGCAAGTGCAGACAATATCTTACCGGATTCAAGTTGGATTCCCATAAGCATTGCAGCACCGAAAGCCGCCACAGAAACAAATGTAGGAGAAACCCAAAACACAAAAGTAGTCGTAGCTGACGTGTACACATATTTCTTCAACCAATCTGCCTCAATACTTCTGAGGTCTAAGATCCTAGACAGAAACTTCATCTCCCAAGCTTGAAGCTTGAGTATTCTCATATTTCTTAAGACTTCAGATGTAGCCTTCATCCTTTTATCTTTCGACTCCATGAGTTTCTCCTGAAACTTCTCCTGCAAACTTCCTAAAGGGATGTTTAACAACATCACTAGTACTGTAGCCACAA